GACGTCATGCCGCTGTTAGCTAGATTGTCGATTGATCCGTTTGAACATTACCTTATTCATAGCATTGCTAAATTTATCCATGTTAATCATGTCGTTTTCCCTCTCCCAAATCTGACGGACCTTTTCCCTCAGTAGTAAGTGCGGGGCGGGTTCTGGCCCACTTTTTGACCTTTGACCTTTGGGCCAAATAAGGCACACTGTGTCGGTCGTGCTTGGTCTGGCCCCGGGACCCCCCAGAGTTTGACCTTTGACCCCTGGCATGCCATAAATGTGCCATAAAGGTTCTTTTCCGTGGCGAACGTGCACTTGTGCACGTTCGGTGCATTCGCACCGGGGAGTAGTAAAATACGTACTATTCCCTGATTCGCACGACATAGATGTGCATTGCATGCAGCGAATGACATATTGCGCATGCGCGCATACGCACGCGGAGCATGTGACTTTCAGTGGCCCTGCGGAAAAGACGCAGTGCAACACAAGGTGTACTAGTAGTACATGTGTCATTATACTACTCCCTGATTCGCACTTCGTAGATGTGCAGCAAACAAGTGAGTTCACGTGCCATGCACTCGTTGAGCTCCAAGATCAGAATTCGGCTCAACATAGTACTAGTACTTGAAGTCACCGCTCCCATTACGTCATGTACATTTACATACACCCTGTTGAAGCACTGAAGCATCGGTTTTCGGGGAATTCAACATGCGAATTTTTGAAAATTCGGCGAAAAGATGGGTAATTTCTTCAAAACCACTGTTTTTCGGCGAATTTTTCGCCCGGCCGATTAGGGAAATGCCTACTGTCCATGCAGGTCCATTAGATGCAAATTTCTATTTTGATCAGGATACAGTTAGAATCAACCGGCTACGCCCGGAGTATCATGCATTAAAACAATAATTATTATTGAAGGGGTGTCACAGTGAAGCAGTGTTGCTACGCACCGCAAATCCCCTCTGCACTGCATCGAATCTATACTGGAGAATCCAGAGTGACCAGCAAAGAGTCACAACCCGCGGGTATCCAGTCACACTCAGGCATATCCACCATTCCCCACATATTCACTGTAACAAAACACAATACTGTTTACTATAATGCACTTTTATTTAAATGGACTTGGATGAGTCTGTAGAAGAGAACACAATGCACGCACACGCACGCATGCGCGGACACACACACACACACACACACGCGCGCGCGCACACACATCTAGGTTATAGTGCTATACACGTATCTAGGATTTAGGAAGCACGAGAATATGTCGAAGCACCCACACATATCCCTTCATGCAGTGTACTTCAGTAGCCCAACACATTACGACCGCTATAGCACAGGACCATCACAAAACACATTACGACTGCTATAGCACAGGACCATCACAAAACACTACACACTGTTACTACACTGCATACACAGTTACTACACTACGCCTGTTAGTAGCTGTTACAAGTACTTACAAATAATTTTGAAAACAAATGGCACATCCCGAAGACGGCAGCTAGCTCCAGACCTTCATACATCATCATCATCTGTAAAACCAAGCATGAGCGCACACAAACACTATTAGTGTCACGAATACGGAAGCAGGGTAAGACAAGAGGATACGAAACAAGTAAGTATCGCTATAACGAGGGGGATAAGTATACATGTAGACAGAGCAGTGCTTACTTACAGGGTCCGGATACGCTCCATGGCGTCCCGGTAGTCGGACTGCAACAGCAGCCCGACTTGCCGGCCCTCCCAGTAACGGGCTCGATGGGCCGCACCCGCCAGGTGTGCGGCCACGGCCTGGCCTCCCACCAGCCTTTCTCCACTGTAAAAACGAAAGAAACCGCAGAAAGCACAGTGTCATAGAGCTCTTTTGTTGGGGGAGAGAGCTAGGAGTACTGCACACTTACCATTTGTCACAATATATTATAAGAAAGAGGCGGCGCTTGACGCACCGCCTCAGGTGCTGAAACAGGGGTATAACCCCTGTAAGTTCCACACCGCAGTGACATGTGAAAGCCATACTGTAATGATACTGAAGTGAAGGTGTGAACCGCAAAGCAAGGCCTTTACCTTCTTCCTGTCGAATTCGCTCTCCAGCTGCATAACGACATCATCCGC